TGACTTTTCGTTGACTGTCCTGCCTACGTGCGTGCCACGTGGCCTTACTTCTTTAGACCTCGAAATCGAGGGGTAACATAGTTGATGTTATAACAGATAAAAAGCAAACCCATAATTAGGGAAATAGGCATGCAAAAATTTTTATTCACATTGAAGATTATGTAATTCTTAGATAGACTACTATCTTGTTGATAATTAAAGCAACTAATATGTAATTCTTTAGTAAATTAAGTAGATAATTAAAGCAACTTCAATTGGATTCAAGAGCTGGAACTCTTAATAGCCTATTATAGTGGAAACTTTTCATCACAGCATGATGTTTCCAACTATTGATATGTTCAATTGCTTTTTCCTATTGAAAGTGGATCTGTTCATAATTCTTGGATTCTAGAGGTTACAATGGCAAAAGAACATTATTCAGCCTTTATGTTTCGCAGCATTTTCCCGAATTTCTTCTTTCTTCTTTAATCAAAGAAGCAACCTTATGTAACCTCTTCTACTGCACACCAAAATTAACATGTGGGGTTTTGATAAAAAGTGGAAAATACAACTTTTTTATTTTTCTTGATACAATACCAAATTATCTCATCTAATAGCTTAACTATATGGGATGGCGTAAATCGATTTATTTATCAACTCCTCCACAGGGTGGTTGGAATTTAGGTTTGCACCATAAACTAAAAGTCAAAGGTCCCCTTCCCATACTGAAAAGAGACAAGACAAATCAGGGTTCTTACTTGAAAAAAGGGGCACTCTAGCTATCAGTCCCTTTCTCAGCATAATCTTCCGGTTAGTTTGAATCTTTCCCAGGCTTCTCGATGGTTCTCGAGTTCTCTTTGCTTGAAAATACTTCATTTTTGAGTTGATGAACTCGAGAAGGTGGAAAGAATTTTAAAGTGAATTTTTGCATCATGTCATTCCATGAAACTATTCTCCCAGAGATTAGTGAGTTTAGCCAGTCTCGTGTGCCATCCTTTAAGGTGTGAGGCAATAAGCGCATTCGAAAAGTATCAACAGACATGTCTTCGTGACTAATCATATCGCATAGCATCAAAAAGACTTGAATATGTTCATGAGGATTTTCAGTTGATTTCCCAAAGAACCTGATGTCGTGATGATTCTGAAATAATTTGACGACGTCAGGTCTGATGTGGAAGTTAGCCTGTTCAAATGGCAGTTATATGATAGATGGTTGCACATGAGCAGGAATGAGATTTACATAATCCCTCACTAAAGTTTTTCCTTCATTTGCTACTGCCCTTGGCTTGTCGGCTGAATTGGCTAAGGTAGTGGTAATGGATTCTGAACTTGATTCGTTTTGATTTTCTGTCATTTCTCTTGCTTCCCTCTGTTCTCTTCTTTGTTGTCTAAAGATTCTTTAAATTTTGGGATTTATTGGAAGAAGCTTGATTCCATCTCGTTAGAATCTTGCATAAACTATGCTTTTCTGAAAAATGTAAAACAAGAGACTTAGTTCGTTCAATAAATAGTCCAAAACAAGTAAAAACTTCAAATTTAAAAATAATTAATAAACTCAATTTAAATAAATTATTCCCTGACAGCGGCGTCAAAAACTTGTTCGTGCGAAACCCGTAAGTGTATGAGATCGTTGACAAGTAATACGTGTATCCTCCCACAATGAATAAATTTCAATAAAGTGTATTAGTTTTTATTCAAATTCAAAGTAAGCACGCAAAAGAGATTTATGGTTTGTAATTATTCTCAATTAATCTATGAAAACTTGTAAAATTCGAGTTTTGTATGTATATGGAATACGTATATTGGATTACGAATTCACTTATTATTATATATTTTCAATTCTCAATTGCGTAACTAGTATCATTCATGCATTCTTGACAATCGATAATTCTATTGTAATTAATTCTCCTTTTCAAGACAAATTAAATCTATTCTAGTCACGACCCGAATATATTCCTAGTCCGATTTCGAATGAATAGAACGCATTCAATTTCACAATTTATCTCAAAGATTGCACGTGTGATAAA